TAATTACCCATAACTACTTACTAGATTTGAACTCGGCCCGTTGGCCGGGTATATTTTTATCAATGGTATAAACAACAAAAATAAATTTTCTAATTTTCTATCATAAATTAATCCAAATATTAAATTATTGATAAAATAAAACAAAAACATGAATCATAAATTTGAAAGAAAAATTCATATCATAACAAACTCGTCAACTAATATCATTGCCGAAATTTAAAATAAATCATGCAAGGGAATCAACTTCTACAAAATGTGTTCAAATCACACTTCAGTTAGAATTACTTTATAAATTTCTTTTTGACTTCGTGATTGCTTCCTCATTAGCATTATCATCCCACTAACAACAACACCTTCATCTCCATTAATAACACCTCTATTTTCAATATCAATATTTATGATTGGTCTCCTGCGTTTGGTCTCTTACTTCATCTCTTGAGTTTCATTGAGAGCTAAATAAATTTGTATTTTTTTAAAAAATATGAAAATAATTTTTTTACGTCTTTCAAATAATGAATATTGTCTCATATTTGCACTTCTTGCTAAATTTTTATAATTCTATCTCCACAATTAGTTGTCTCTACTTTTTTCTCAACAACGTCATTATCTCTGAAAGCACTACCTACACTATTATAAGACTCTTTTTTCTTCTTATGTGTTTCATTTAAGGCCTAATACCAGAAAATGGCCCATAGTTTAGGGTTTAAGTCACTTGTACCCCTATGTTTATACCGCGTCACTTATGTCCCCAAGTTTGGTCTCCGTTAACTTTGACCGTTAGTGGTCAACAGTCAAAATTTTGACTGACGATGTGGCATATGATGTGTTTTTTTGCCACATCACTTTATATAAAATAAATAAAAAATAATACTTATAAATAAAATTGGACATTTATTTAAATAATAAAATAAAAACCCAAAATATTATAGCAAAGCCACGATTTACAAACCCAAAAATTTTGTTCTCCCCCCTGCTCCTCCTTCCAGCCGCCGAGCACCTTCTTCCTGTCGATAAAGACATATGGAAACAACCTCGATCTTGTCGGCCAGCTTCCGTTCTGGTATTAAGGAGCGAATCGACGGATGTAAGCAGGGGGAAGCAGGACCCGAATCAGCGGCGAGCTCGATTGCAGTGCAAAATTGGGCGGCGGCGAGCTCGAATGGGCGGCGAGCAGGCCCAACTATAGATCAACAGTGAATCGAGAGACCCCGCCTGGTGGCATCGATTTCATCTGACCCTCGACCTCGCCGCAACCTCCCCCACTATCTCCATCGACAACCCCCAACTCTCAATCATATCTGGAAAAGTTCGATTAGAACAGAGGATCGTGTCGGGCCATCGTCGCTGCTCCAATTCAGCTTCGGGAGCAGAAGGAGCTCAATGGGTTGATTACCAAGGTGGATTACAGGAAGCTTTTGGGATTGCATGAAGAATCAGAAGGAATCGTTTGATTGGGATTCAGAAATCTGGGTTTCCATCCCAGATGCATCTCGTCGTGCCACTCCCCACCGCCTCTCCTCGTGCCAGCACCGCCGCGTCTAGTCACGCCGTCGATCTGGGGTTCGTCGGGCGAGAAGGAAGAATAAAACGTAGAGGGAAGTTTGTGGAGTGGATGGATATGTTCGCTATGGAGGATTGAGGAATGAACGAGAGGAGCTGAAGGAAGAAGAGGGGAAATTGGATGGGTCGTTGCTAGAGAACGAGAAGGAGGAGTAGCAAGCCCGATGGTTAGCTCCAAATTCAAATCCTCTCGTCGCTCGCCTCCAACGGCGGTGGCCATGTTTGGTGAAGGGTTTGCAACAACGACGAGGAAGGAGAAAGAAATCTTTGGCGGAAGTTGGATGTGAAGATGATGGGTTTACTTTTATTTATTAATTGAAAATAAGCAAATAAATTATTAGTAGGAAATAAAATAAACATATCATATAATTTTAAATGATTATTGTTGATGACATGGCAATTTTCAGGTGACATGTTGACACCACATCATAGTCAGTCAAATTGACTTTGACTGTGGTTTGGTCAACCGTTAAGTCTAACGGTCAACAAAATGACGGAGGACATTTTTGACATGGAGACTTTAAACTTTGGGACATAACTAACGCAGTATAAACATAGGGGTACAAGTGACAGAAAACCTAAACCATAGGCCTTTTTCTGGTATTAGGCCTTCATTTAAAGCAAGAACTTAATGATAAAATATTTACACATGTGAAACACCATTTTTTCTCAAGTTAAAAAATAATCTTCCTAAAAGAATTTCTATTGTTTTTATTCTCACCACAAATTACAATATTACATGCACATATAAACTTCCGTCTAATTAATCACTTGAACATATAAAGTGAATTTGAATGGGATTTGAAATAGATGTTTGCTTTTTTGCAGAGTGAACAAAACAAATTTTGACATTTTTGGTTGGGGCATTCCTATGATGATTTTGTTCAAACTCCAAAAAATCTGTGTGAAAACTTTGGTTTTGGTGATAGTTTGGTTGGGATAGTTACAATGTAAAGTACATTTACATTATTTCCCTTAATTGCATGTATATTACAATGCATGTATTGATTTAAATATCACCAAAACCAAACGACCCTAGCTGTTGATCGACCTGATTAATATGGTTATATTATGTGATATAATTTGTGTGGCTTAAGTCATGTTGATCACATTGTTTTTCATGCCGACCATTTCAAAGAAACATACATGTACATATAGAAATTTGTGGCCCTATATATATATATATATATATATATATATATGACAGATAATGGTCTATCGAAATATCAAATAGCCGATCTTATGATTGTTTGGTCGACCAACTTGGAGTGAAGGTTAACATATTTTAATCGAGGTGTCACTTTTTTGTCCACTAATAAAAGAGATTTATTTAACATACTCTATATATGTTTTAATTAGAGTTCAAAGTGACTGAAGTAGTATCAAATTCATTTGATTACTAATTAACATAATATCTTTCTAATAACAGTAAACTAAAAGGAGGAAAAAAATTGCCTATAAATTGACCAAATTATAGTTTGGGGCTTTAGGCCCAATAATGAAATTATTTCTAGTCAGCGGAGTTAGTAAGAAGAGGCCGTAAAAGCCTAAAAAATGAAAAGACTTGTATCCTTCCGTGGGATGCGCTCAAGCCTCAAGGCTTCAATATGGGTTTAAACCCCCTTCTCCCGTGGAATCTCCTTATAGGAGTTTGTAGATAGATTAGCTGCTAACCATCTTATTAAGTACCTAGATTAATCTAAGGATCGAAATGACTTGAGAAACATTTTAAGTATTTGGTTTAAGGACGGTAACCGAGCCGCCATCTCACATGCCATGGTTGAACTGGTCGTCCACAGAGTGTTACTTGAGAAGAATACTACATATTTCTCCTTACTCTTGTGGATCAAAGGCTAAGGGATAAGCGGTCTAGACAATCAAGCATAACTTAACATTGGTTCTTGTTGGCTTTTGCAAACAATATGAGATAGTGGAGGCCACCTGGATTCGTCTAAATCGGTTTCCAACGCCCTTCTGCCACCACCATAGGCGGAGGGAGGCCCATTGGGCCTTGTCCCGGGACAGGGGTAAATTTCGAAAGAACAAAAATTTGTCATATATATGTATATTGGTGATGCAAAACAACGCCTATAAGTAGTATTAGAGTATTTTTGTCACTACAGCACAATTCATTACTTATTCATAAATTGACATAAAAATTAATTTATTATGCTATAAACGAATTCTAATTGCAATAAAGACCTAATCGGATCTCTTTTCTCCTTATGCCTATTCGATTTTTTCCCAACAACCCTGAAATTGTCTAGCAACATCGACAATTCCACTAGTTTTGATTCTACGAATTACAACTGCAAATGTAAAAAGAGCATTTTCAACTTTGAGTTATATTAAGAACAAGTTTCCAAGTCAATTTGGCGACCAATTTGCTAATGCTAATTTAGTGAGATACATTGAAAAAGACTTATTTAATAGTGTAGACGACGAATGTTTTTGCGTTTCTTTCACAATATGAAATCTCTTCGTGGTTGTTAAAAACAATGATTGTATAGTCGGTTATTTTTAATCTATGAATGAATTATGCAGATAGAATTAATTTTAATTATTTCTTATTATATTATTTTTAATTAAACATTTTTATATTTATATTATGAAAAGAGGACAGGGGTGGTTTGAAATGTTGGCTCCCCAAGGGCTGCAAACGAGCCGAGTCGAGTCGAGTTTTTGCTTAGCTTGAGCTCGGCTCGTTTATAAATTTTTTAGCTCGAGCTCGGCTCGAACTCGAATTTTGATCATCCAGCTCGAGCTCGAGCTCGGCTCGATAGAGCTCGGTAAATGCTCATTAACACAGCTTGTCAAGCTTAGTACAAGCTCGGCTAAAGATAAGCTCGATTTGAAACCATTCTTGCTGAAAAATGTGTACAATAAGAACATTAGAAACTAAAAATGATAAAAAGAACACTAGAAACTAAAAATAACATCTAACTTTCACACACATCCTTATTAACAAGATAATTTTCATGTTCAGAAGAGTAATTAATCCTTCCACAAGCTTTAAACAAGCCAGCTCGCGAGCTTAGCTCAACAAGCCACTGAGTCAAGCTAGCTCACGAGCTTATCAAGCCGAGCATGGTCTAGCTCAAGCTTGGCTCGTTTACTAACGAGTCGGCTCACGAGCCGGCTTGTTACACAACGAGTCGAGTATCGAACGAATTTTTCCGATTCGAACGCCGAGTTGCTCGCGAGCAGCTTGGCTCATTTGCAGCCCTTCCCCACCACATGTTCGTTGGAATGACTCAAATCTCTCCATGCACTGAGTGAACGTATAGGAGTCGCCTGTATGTGTGGAGGTGTGGAGTATGTATGAGAATGACGATATTGTGTACTAGCCATTTCCTATTACTCTTTGCAATAGGTAACGGAATTTTTCCAAAATAACAAACAAATTCAAGTTGGATCGCAATGTTACAAGTCATGCCAAAACATAATACAAACCTGGATCAAATGAACTCGAGTTACTGATAAATCTCAATCGGTTTATCGAGTCATACGCCACCTTTCAGTTGGTCAAGTTTAAATCGAATTAGCCAGTTAAATCGTCACATTGGATTGATAAAATTAGATAATGCAAACAGCAATTGGGAAAAGAGAAATGCAATAGCTCGGAGAAAGGGGTCACCCTTCTTCTCTTCTAGACTAGCAAGAAGTCAAGCAGGATTAATATATCAACTCAAACAGAGCTGCTTAGCTTAGCTAATAGCTAGACTGCAGTTCTCCCCATTAATCTCATACTCAAGACTCAGTAGGAGCAACCTCAACACCATTCAACTTTGCAGCATCAAGCCCCCAGAAAGAAGCCGTCTTCACATCATCCTGAATCATCATCTTCGAAAACTCGGCATGGTCATACTGCAAGTCACCTTGCCCTCCAAAGTCAGCTGGCAAGTTCTGATCATCAAAGTGCAATCTCATTACCTCGACGCTCTCCTTGTTCTTCTTCGGGTACACGAACTTCACCTTCTGGAACGTCCTGGGATCCAAAAAGTACTTCACCACCTTCCAGAACGCTTCGAAGATCCTCGGAGGGTTGTAGAGGAACGCGACTGCCAGCCTCTCGGGGTAGTGGTTCTGCAGAATCGAGGCGGTCTCGTGCGCTGTCTTGATGGGCACGTTGTTGGTGATCGACCAGCCTGTGAAGTCGATGAGGAAAGACATCTGCTCTTGGCCCTCTGGCAGGTTGAGAACTGCATTCTCAAGCAAGTAAACCAGATGGCGGATTTGGTTCTCGAATGATTTCGTGTTCTGCAAGTACAAGTTTTAGATTGGATTTCATTCTCTCCGGAAAAAAAGCTCGAAGAACATTTTGCTTTAAACAGTTAGATGAAGGAAACACAAGTTCGAACTCAGTTTTTCGATCGGTTTCAAGTTTAGCAGAAGGGCCACGGCTACTAACCTGCATTCCAGGCCTGAGAATAAGTACAGACCTTCCTTGTCTGTCACGGAAATTGGCTCTGTATATCTTCCCAGTCTCACCTTCGTGTGCAACTTGGGGCTGTAAGTAAAATAATCAAACACAGAATTCAGCTCTCCAATCACATTACAGATGGAAAACTCGAGCACGAATGGCATAACAGATATGGGGACTACCCAACGGATTTCTTCGGGCTTATAGCTCGACCTCCACTCGAGAGTTTCCTGCAACATCTTCTTGGCTTTCTCCACATTCCAGTTTCGCGCTACCAGATACCTTCTGAAGCATGCATCGCTGCAATACTTCAAGCTCGGGCCAGATAGAGGACCTATGGCGGCCTTGAGCTCGTTGATCTGCATAAAAGAAACATCCATCCACAGAATTGAAACCCTATACCAATATGAACAGAAACAAAATGCAGTTTCTATCCAATTTTTGGCTTCTTATCCTTTACCTTAGCCTCTTGCTGCTGAGGATCATTCTCAGGATCCTGGTTAGCATTATTAGCCTTCCGACGGAACATCGTGGTATCGACTGATAATCTCTTGAATCTCTCTCGAGCCCTAGGGTTTCAAGTGTCAACCTGTTTTTGACACAAGAGAGGAAAGGAAGAAGTAGGTATAAGGGAAAGCTTATGAGCTAATGAACAACCTAAGGGGAAACCCAAAATTGTCAACTGCCTTCTAGAAGAGGTATGACCAGATGCAATAAATTGAATCCAACCAAATAAAATAAAATAAAATCAAAGGAAACCCTATTCCTAGTCATATGCCATCCAGCATACTAGAATTGACTATTCCTGCTTGGAAATTAAATAAAGCAAGAAACAGAACAACAGCTGCTACTAATTGCAGAAGCTTCCCAACACCATCAGAACATGGTTCAAGCCCAAATGAAGACATCAATCAAAGGAAAGAAGAAAGAAAAACACGAATTCAGGGGATTCAAATGAAGCTGCCCTCCAATCTGAGCTGAACAGTACAATCAAAATGGCACATGAAAGGGAGAAAGAACGGAGCTTTTTCCACCAACTCGCCATACTTTTGCTTGTCACACAGGAATCAAAACCTCCGTTCAACAGCTCGAGTTTCTAACCAAAGTAAAGCCTTACAGTTTTATATAGAGAGAACCCAGATGGGGAATTGAAGGAAGCCATTTGTCCATGGCAGGGAATCAAAGGCCCCCGAGGAGACTGAACTCTTGTTGCTCTAAGCAGAATTCCAAAATAGGTGAGAAAGAATCCAAAGACTTCTCCTTTTTTTTTAAACGAACCTGGTGGCGGCACAAGAGCGAGCTTGGGAAGTCGAGAGATTCGGCGAAATGGCGGGTATTGTTTTAGTTTAGTTTGATTCCCTCTCAAACGGACCCAACAATGGAGACAGATACCAAACGACAAGGAGAAATCAAAGCTTGGAGAACGGACAACAGAATGAAAGAAACGCAGAGGTGTAAAATGGTCTCTGTGGCTTTCTGTGAGAGAGAGAGAGAGCTGAGCTTGGAAGATACTTGTTTTTGTAGTTCGCGGTAATTGGCCCGTACGGTGTCAGATTGCTGTCTCACTTCCCGGGTTTCCACCTTCGGCGTGACCCGACCCGGCTCAAGTTCCCCCGCCGACGTCGGGTCACCGGAGAGGCAGCACGTGTGTGTTCTTCTGATTGTTGTTTCCATTTTTTTCCCCATCTTTATTTACTCTCTTAAATAAGTTTCTAATTGCACATGAATATAATATAAAATAATTCAAAATAATATAAAATAATTCTAATGTGTGGTCTTACTGACCCAATGCTTGTGGAGTTGATGGCGCTTCGGGAAGCGATCTTGTGGTGTCGGGCGATGGGTATCCAGGATGTCTGCTACCAGGGGGATGCAAAAGTCGTGATTGACAATAGGGCTGGGAAAATAGACCAGACCGTTAGAAAAACCGTGGTCCAAACCGTACCGCACAGTTTGGTCCGGACCGTAGACCGTGAAGTATGGTCTGGTCTGGTCCATGGTCTGTATTATTTTATAATTTGATCTCATGGTCTGGTCTGGTCTAGACCGCGGTTTACCGGACCAAACCGTAGACCCAACTGACTTGTCAATACGTGTTAACAGCCCATTCGACCACTCTCCAAACCCCCACAACGACACCCAAGTCTCAACCTTAATTTTGTGAATCTCTTCCCTCCTTCATTCACAACCACATTTAACCACAGAGTAGAGATAATCGTGTCTCCATATGACATTATGTTAATGTTACAACCACATTTAACCACAGAGTAGAGATAATCGTGTCTTCATATGACATTATGTTAATGTTTATGACATTATGGTGCAAGTTGGGATGCTTTTACTTTGTATCTTTGTTATGTACTAAGATTTAGAGTATCAAAATTATTCATGCATGTTAGGATTAATGTTTTAAGACAAATAACAATTATTTTTCTTGGTTATTGGTTCAATTTTTTGTGTGGTTGACTAAACAAAATTTCCATTTTTCGTTGAGTGTGGTCTATCTGGACCAGACCAGACCGAACCAGACCGCACAGGCGTGGTCTGGACCAGACCGTATAGTCTGTGGTCTGGTCTGTGGTCTATACTTTAGCCTCTCGGTCTGAACCGTAGACCGTATATATGGTCTGGTCTGGACCAGACCGCACCGTTTCCCAGCCCTAATTGACAAAGTGGTGGCGGGGTGTACGTGGGATTCCAGGGGGGGTGCTGTGTTGCAGGAGGTTCAAGGAATGCTGGCAACTGGTTCAGGGGAGAAGCTTCGATTTGTAGGCAGGGATAACAATAGGGTAGCCCATAGGGTGGCTAGGAAAGCCCTTTCTTTGTTTCCCGCTCTTATTGAGGGGTTCGATTTTTGCGTGTGGCTCCATTCGGAGATGTAATCGTTTGTGATCTTGATTTCTTGGTAATGCAAGCTATCTTTTGTTAAAAAAAAAAATAATAATAATAATTCAATGAAAAGAAAATAATAATATATAACTTGATTGGCATATTATCTGGATTTTTGTTTGTACGCGAAAATATTATGTCAAGATTATATTCCATTGCATTGATTGAGGTGTTCCTCTCTCCATTTTAGCAAGGATTTCCAAGATCTAAACAAATTTTTGGTCCACTTGCACGTACTTCTCTGTCCTTTGTTTCAGTACCATATAATTAGTATTGGGATTCAGTGAGGCAGATACACAATTGTTGGACCGATGTGTCGGCTCGCTAGAGCTGTGTCAGTTACAATTATTGAAGTTGTATAAGAGGTTCAAAATTCAAATTTTTTGTACCACTGAAACCTAAATTTCTCACAAAAAAAATTCCTAAATACTTTGGTCATCCCCTGTTTGAGATGGATAGAAATTTATTTTCACAAACCTTTATATCTTATACGAGTTTGCATTAAACTCTATCTGGGGATACTTCGACATTGAGCGAAACCGTGACTCTTTAACATATTAGTTTTAGGGATTTACCCCCAACATGTTGAACTTTGAAGTCGATACATTTCGAATATCTTTATTAATAAACTAAAAAAACAAGTCCTAAAACTACAATTGGCCCCTATTATCGGAAGGTGACATGCGTTTATTTTTACACCCAAGTGGGCACGGCAGCACCACAACATTCCACAATGAAGAAAATATCCCAAAAGAGCCGACTGAAGGCCAGAAATGAAAAAGCCAGCAGGTACAGAGAAATGGGGGAAGCAAACAAGGAAGAAAGTAGTGAATGAAAGCGAAGCCGTAGCCGAAAGCTGAACTCAAAAGAAGCTACAGACTGCGGACTGTCGTTGTCGGAGTAGATGTGGAGAGCACCAACGACTCCAACAATCCGTGATCCGGCGGGCAACAAAGCACCAACAACTCACCTGCCGGCCCGACTAGGGAAGGGAAGAGAACCTCACTTCTCGCCTTCCACTTGTTAGTGTTGTGGTATATGATCCACCATTGAACCTCTCCCAATAATTCAAGTTATTGGAAGCAATTGGTTCTTGACATGGTATTAGAGCTTTCTGTGACCGAGAGGTCTTGTGTTCGATTCCCGGTGACCCCCCATTTGTTAAGCACATGGTATTCTTGTCTTCAGATCTGTGCAAATTTCAAGCCCTTGTGAATGACTTTCGTTTGAGGGGACGTGTTAGTGTTGTGGTATATGATCCACAATTGAACCTCTCCCAACAACTCGAGTTATTGAGAGCAACTGGTTCCACTTGCCATTTTGTGTTTCTTCAGTACCACACAGGTGTCCCTTGCTTGCTACCCATTATTGGGACTTGACTTGTCAATCAGCAGATCAAGTTGCTACACAGACAAAAGGAAACCAAAGAAACAGAGAAGCCACATTGTCAGAAAGCAAACAAACACATACAGAAGAGTAGGGAACAGGAACCAGGTGGATTCGAACCACCATCCTCCCAAAGCCTAAAAGAAGTTCAGGCTTTGGACGCTCTATCCATTTTGAGCTAATGGATCCATCACTCGCAAGTCACACAGCACGTTCCCAGATTCATTGACATAAATGTCGCTGTGGTGCTTGCAGAATTTCTTTTTTTGCAACCTGCCCACCTGTGCAACTGATAGGAACATACAACAATCCATCATCTTTGCTCACCTGTGGTTCCAGCACAAGCCAACATCTAACCGCTCCAAAGATTCAGTGTCCTCATCAAATCAGCTTTAACTGATCCTCATCTCTCTCGAATCACAACTCCTCGACGCCATGCCCTCGAATACCCGGGAGAGAACGAGACTGCCTTTTTCAGAAATACAAAGAAAGAAATGGCACAGGAAAACCAGACTCCTGCTACAGGATCCTAATATCATTCTAGCCTACCAACCAGATAGGCGAACTAATAAAAACACAAATATGGAAGGAAGGACGAGCCAGGAAAACAATGCATTGACCTGGCTGAACAACCAGCTAAAACAAACCCCCACGATCCTGATGACGTTTTTGAGTTGCAGCTTCAACCGACTTGGAAAAACTGGTACACAATTATGTAGTCTAGTCTACTGATATTCAGAAACAATGGAATGAACTAATCATCAAGTACAAACAGATGGTAGGACGAGCTAGGAAAACAATGCATTGACCTGGCCTAACATACAGCTAAAACAAACCCCCGACAATCCTGATAACATTAGTGAGTGGCAGGCTGGCAGCTTCAACCTGACGTGAAATGGTACACAATTATACTCCAAGTCTACTGACAAAATGAACTGATCATCAAGTAAAAACAGATGAACGGACGAGCTAGGAAAACAATGCATTGACCTGGCCAAACAACCAGCTAAAACAAGCCCCCCATGACATTAGCGAGTCGCAGTTTCAACCTACTTGAAAAACACTGATACACAAATATACTCTAGTACTGACAATCAGAAACAATGGAGTAAACTAATCATCAAGTCAAATGCTAATGCGCTCAACCCACGAGGTAAAATTACTGGAGAAATTTCAGAGAGGAATCTCATCTTGAGGGTATATGCTACAACAAGAATGATTCTGGAACATGTGATTTTCCCCGAATTGTGAAGCCAATGAATGGACTAAATAAGACTCACACCCAGCAGGGGTGAAGATTCTGATTTGAAGACTTACAAAGGACTGCCAATACTCATAGATGGACGCATGCCACTAGCAGCTATCTCCAGACTACGTGACCGAAGAAGTGAAGAAACATCACTAAATAGACCGCACTTTGCTGGGAGACAACCTTGCCAAGAGCTTCAAAACCATCCAGCTCTTACAGATTCGCAGAAAACAGCTTGCCCGTCTGAATTCAAAAATTAATACAATCACAACAGGAACAATTGCGCTCTGTCGGCATAGATAGTTGGACACATGCCACTAGCAGATATCTCCGAACCAGATGACCGAAGAACTGAAAGTAAGATATGACTAAATACACTACGCTGTGCTGGGAGACAACCTTTCCTAGGGCTTCAAAACCATCCAGCTTTAACAGATTCGTAGACAGCACCTTCGCAGACCGAATTCAAAAGTTCATACGATCAACGGCAAAAAGATTTGCATGCTGTCGGCATTTGATAGTACGATCCGCCGGCTCAGCACAGAAACCAAGTATAGGTCATGTTCCCCTGTGTTGCAATCAAACAAACAATCAGTACATCTGAAATAAATTCCATTAACGGCGAAGCAAAGTACTAAGAAGATGAGAATCATAATGAACATCTCACCATAATGACTACAACTGATAGTCTGATACAGATCTCACTTCAGTATCCAGCACCAGCAGCTAAAGGATCCTCCGTACCCAACATGGAGAAGCAGCAGCATCTCCAGTGCCCAAAATCAGTTTGAAATCCCTTTTACAACCTAGTTGAACGGGCCTTCAAAAGGCAACCGGTACAAACACATGCACTTTCTTCACTGTGTTGCAATCGAACCGACAATCAGTACATCTGAAATAAATTCCATTAACGGCCAAGCAAAGTACTAAGAAGATGAGAAGCATAATGAACATCTCACCATAATGACTACAACTGAGAGTCTGATACAGATCTCACTTCAGTATCCAGCAGCGGCAGCTAAAGGATCCTCCATAACCAACATGGAGAAGCAGCAGCATCTCGCCATAGTGCCCAAAACCAGTTTGCAATCCCTTTTACAACCTAGTTGAACGGGCCTTCAAAAGGCAACCAGTACAAACACATGCACTTTCTTCACCGTGCTACATCACGTCAACTTATAGATATTACAGCTCCCCCCACCCCCAACCACCCATACTAACATTGTAAATGGGGCAGTTAAACTAAATAGCAGAAAAAGTCGAAGCAAAATAAACCGGAGAGATCAATGAAACTGAAGACCAATAGAAAGCAAGAAACCAATGACAGCTATAGCTACTGAAAAGCACCGGTGGTTGAACATTGTTTTGGTGGCACAAGTTCTCTCGTCCATAATTTTGAGCTGGTTTTGGGAAGGTAAGTGGGGGAACTAGTGCAAAGTTGTTGTGGCTCTTCATAGCGGAAACAAATAATCCTGCCGACATCCAACTCAGGTAGGTGTGGATACCATAGGTCAAAGTTGGACGAAAATATGGATGAACCACTGTATCTCAAATAAGTTCAAATGTAGAAGGTAAGTTTATTCACCCTAACCCGATTGATCAACTACAGCGTCATTTTGCCGGTGTAGAAAGTGAATTTTATCAGCCCAACTCAATGAACTGTGAGGCATAACTAATCCCACAGACATTTCTCAAGGACATCGTAACTAAGATATCTGGAAAATCAATTAAGTCCGGTAAAAAACGTTATCACCTAACACAATACTTGAATTAGAAGATCTGACGTCGATTTGCTAGTTATAAATGAGCTAGAGGTAATTGAAAAATAAGGAGGAAGGATGAAGAAATCTGTACCTTTAAGGACTATCTTGATTGCTTGCATGCGTATGATGACTGGATTGCGTAGCGGAGGAGTTTGACAATTCGAGTGCATTGACACAGCAACGGTGGCCGGTGGGCAGCAAGCGAAAGGGAGCAAGAAACAGGAAAAGGAGAGAAAAGAGAGCAGACACACACACACGAGGAGGAGGGAGAGCCGGGGCTGAAAAACTTCACTAAATAAAAAATACCCCTGTGCCATCTCCCTCCTCCAAAACCCAAAAACCATCTCTTTTATTAAGATTTTGTGACCTGCCATGCGAGCGCACCCATCATGGCAAAGGCCGACTGACACAACATCGCAAGCACAAACAACTAACGCTTCAAACAGCATAGCCTAATGTCTTACCGTTCGTGTCATCCATCCTCTTCCCTTCCCAGATAGGGAAGCACCCATAACCAACCACCACATATACCATAAACAGTTCAAACAATAACATACACATAAACGATGTTACCAACCCTTTTACACCGCAATAATCCTCGTGAGGCCATCCAGCTTGACTCGATCCAAGATGGTCGAATTGGACATCAATCAACATATCGCAAGGCAACCACCATCTGAAGAACACGGATCACCCATCTCAGCATAACCCGAGCTCCTTGTGCTTCCCTCTAACTTGCCCCGAAGCTACCGCGGAAGGATGAAGTACTGAAAGATAACAAAAACGTATAACCCATCGATCCGCCTGACCGTCGCCAATAGAATCAAAGAATAATTCGCATCTCGATGACGAATCCGTACATAGCAACAACAAATAAAAATTGATGAACCATATAATCGACAAGGTAATCTGATTCCGCTCAAATATTCATATCGAATTCGAATGAATCATACACATAACACATCGAAGAAGTCTCTTAACGAAAATCAAAACGAACGGACCAATAAACAGGCTACAAAATTCCATAGAAAAGCATACATACCTCAACGGAACAGGCATAAACCAACATCAATAAGTTGAGATCTATGCATCCTTCGCAGAAGCAAGACGACGACGGCGTACCGCCAGCAGATCTACCAGAACTTCGAATCCTGCCGCTGAATCGAACAGGGGAGCTGCAGCTGGAACATTAGCTGAAGGGAAGCCATAGCCAAGAGGTTCATCTGCAGAACTCGGGAGATTCAAACCGAGATCATATTCTGATGAAGGAGAGATTGAAGCTCGGGATCGAGCTATATGGCGCCAGCGGTCGGTAGCGTATATATAAGGAAGAAACATGCCGACATTTGAGATGATAAACGAATGGGATTAGGAGAAGTATTTAAGGGAGGAGAAAAGCTATCCAACGGCTGTTGTTGTTTGACTCTGGGAGGAGGCAGATCGTTGGTCAGATTTGAAACGCTATTTTTGGCGAGGAAAGTTGTTTTACAACACGAATCGAGCGGCTGTGGTCTTCAGAGAACATTCTAGAATATAAATATATAGACATTGCTAATTATCGTTCTAACTCCTAATTGCCCTAACATAAAAGTTAATATTATATTTGTATTCTCCTTTGTTCTTTTTAGGGTTAATACCTTAGTTTGGACTGAACTATACACATACTTTCTACTTTGGCCCGTGGTATTGAAAATTGCTATTCTGGCCTGAACTATGTAGCAAACTTCCTCATTTGGCCCGGAGGCGGGTTTGACCGTCAAATTAGACGGTCAAACCTGTTGACCGTTAGTCAATGTCCACCTCATCTGCCACGTCAGCTTTGAGGACATAAAAAAATATTATTTTTATTTTTGAATTTTGTTTTCCTTCAATTAATTAAAATAATAAATCAAAAAAATTAATTAAAAGAACGAAAAAAGGGCCCATTTTTTAGCAAATGACAAGAAAATAAAAATCAGAAATAAAAAAAAATATATTTTATGTCCTCAAAGCTGACGTGGCAAGTGAGGTGGACATTGACTAACGGTCAACAAGTTTGACCGTCTAATTAAACGGTCAAACCCGCCTCCGGGCCAAATGAGGAAGTTTGCTACATAGTTCAGGCCAGAATAGCAATTTCCAATACCACGGGCCAAAGTAGAAAGTATGTGTATAGTTCGGGCCAAACTAAGGTATTAACCCTTCTTTTTATTAGAAATACTTTATTCTAACAAACTAGATATGATATTTTTGTCCTACATCAAGCGCAGAGACGGATGATGCCTTTGGACCCACTTCGGCCCCCTTCGGGGATGTCTTGGGTGTGCTCCTTTGATGGAGCAGTGCGTCAGGTGTCGCACTCTGCCGTGGGGATTGTCCTACAAGGGCCGGATGGGGTGGTGGTTAGAGCTTTGGGAAAGGGATGGGCGGAGATTACGGATCCAATGCTGGTGGAGTTGATGGCTCTCCGTGAGGCAATCTTGTGGTGTCGGGCGATGGGTGTGCAAGGTGTCTGCTACCAGGGGGATGCTAAGGTAGTTATCGACAAGATTTTGGCCGGAAGTACGTGGGATTGCTATGGAGGAGCAGTGTTGCAGGAAGTCCAGGGCTTGTTGGCTGCGGTGAATGTGGATGTTCTCCGATTTATAGGTAGAGATAACAATAGGGTAGCCCATAGGGTGGCTAGGAAGGCCCTTTCTTTGTATTCTACTCTTATCGGGGGGTTTGATTTTCGCGTTTGGCTCCATTCGGAGATGTAACCGTTTGTGATCTTTGTTTCTTGGTAATACAAGCTATCTTTTGTAAAAAAAAATACATTTTTGTCATACTTTTTTTTTGGAAATATTAGAGCATGGTCCAATCCATTGGTCGAATAGTCTTGGCATCATTGTATCTCTGGTTGAGAGTTGTCGTAGGATGATTGCCTACACATTCGGTAGACAATTAGGTGAGTTACATATGAAATAAGAACGATAAGAGATTTTTCAATAGCTAGAGTTATGAAGAAGTAGAATGAGAAATTTGAAAATGTACATTGCTAACATGCTCGTGGTCTGGATGAATTGCTTTATACAGGATTCATAACTCCAGAAAGATTATTATAAAATCTCTTGCGTTTAAGAGAAACCTTTAATTTACTATAGTTGGCTACTATAATTTACTATAGTTGGCTACTATATTTTGTAATAACACACTTACATTATGTGATTTTGACGTGGATTGCAGAGCATTTGATGTAAGATACGGTATTTTTCTATACAAATCTTGCTTTGCTGGTATTCCCATTAGACCTATTATGGTTGAACTTTTATGGCGTGGGGTGTTGTCCGAGAGAAAATAAAATATATCGACTTCTTTTAATTGACGTTTTGTCTGAAGGCTAAGCTAAAACGATCTAAGACAGGATTACATCTCGTTGCTATACCGCAAACATAGCTACATGGTCGTCAACGAATACTTTGGAATAAACCAAGACCCTCTAGTGAAGTGTGAAGATATAAGGGGACAACGGGCATCTCCTCGCGTAAGCTCCAACTCGAGCGAAGCTCCTCCATACAACTCATGTTCTACAATACCTGCAATGATAGTAGATGTTACACATTATACAATCACATGCTCGACTGGGGAAAGAAAGTGTGTCACCTGGCAAGGTCTCTCTAATGAACTCCCTGCTCATCCTACAACAAACACATGCACAATGTGGCTAATCGGGCAGAAAAAGCCTAGAGGAGTATGAACTAATGATCGAATACAACGTTACCAAATTAATTCGCAAACGAAACCCCATTAAACTCAAATCATGTACATGCGCCATAGTTGACGACCCTAGCTAATATTTAATAAAAATACTCAACGCATCAACAAGAATCAGATGAAACAAAGAGATCCTGCAGTAGGACCCAGGCGGATTCGAACCACCATCCTCCCCTAGCCTTAATAGGCTTTGGGCGCTCTAACCTCTTTGAGCTAATGGATCCACCCACCACCACGTCAAACACAGTTAACGTTTCAGCTACTACACATGAATATCGACAAAATCAAATGTAATTTTGTCCTCTTATTTTTGTCAGCTCGTGTTTGTTAAAAGATGATCCTATTCCTCAACGAAACCTCAATAATTTCACAAACCTTCAACCAATAAAGGGATTGCCACCACAACAACAGTCCAAAACAGGTATTCCAACCAAATACGCGAGGTTCGCAATCACTGCCTCCTATCATCAAAAGGCGACACAGACATCAACATCTACTGTAAACAGATGCATAACGAGCAAGGAAGCCCGGCTAACACATATGCAGATAGGGCAACCACAAGCCACTCCAAACTGAAACGAAGGTAACTTACATGCCAAGGTACGAGCTGAACCGTATAATCGAACGACCTTATACAGTTACACGTTCTTATGCCATCTAATCCTACGCCCGAAAACGAAAAACAGCATAACCACTCAGAACTTCAACATGCAGAGACGCTATATATTTATCGAGCGAGATCATGTTTTTCGTGGGCATGGCCTAGGGTAGAAGGTAAAATCTAAAACAACCACGAGAAAACTAAACAAGACACCATCATCTCTCGAACAGGGGAAAGAAAGACCAATTCTTCAGTGGTATTGAACAACAAATAGACTTGGAAAATGTAAACTATTTACTCATGAGTCCAACCCCTTGTAGACTGTGAGGCGTGTTGACAAACAACATGATGTGGGATTGAAATGAACTTTTCGCTTCTTGGCCTGACACAGATTTGTTGCAATCAACGACTAGCAACAATGGCTAACGTTGATACAGAACATACAAATCCCAAGGATCATCAGAAGAAACACAGCCAAGGCCATCATTGCTGCAATCCAATCAACAATCAGTACATGTGGCAACAACAAAGACCAAAGTATATCTGATGAATTAATCAATGAAGAACATCTCACCACGTATGACTGATAAAGCAGCCAGCTAATACAACATTCTCTTTAGGGTCGAGACGGTATAAGCACAGCAACAGCATCGTCCTCCAGCTAGCTAATACAACATTCTCTTCGGGGTCGGGACGATATAAGAACAGCGACATCAGCGTCCTCCATTCCACATAGAAGCCGGAGAGCACAGTAACTTTGCGCAAGACCCTCACTTTGATGAACTCCCACAACATCTTCCCTTACATGGAGCCTTTCTCATATCTATCAGAACATATTTACAAGACAATACAACACAAGCAGTCCTGCTTTACAAGATCCTGCAGTACTGCGCATCTAATAGCCTATAGCCATCTTCCGACTAATGATATGGTAAGTACGCAGAACAATAGTACTACCGCAAAGTTCAACTGATAACAAATGCCACAATCTTGATCGTAAACTATGATACAAAACAGATTTCCATGGTAGTAATAGCAGAAGTGTCAAAAGTTCGGTAGCTCTTTCGTGAGTGGTTACTTCCTAGAGCCACTGTTGTAAATCGATTTAACGGAGCAAACATGCCAAGGCAAATTGTTTAAATGTGTAGATGATTGCAAAAACTAGACACCACCATCAGCATATGCAGTATCTCAATTCTATGCAAGTGTCAGAGTTAACTTATTCAGGCCAACTCCCACAGAAACCCCTTCAATCTCTCCTAGACCGTATATGATCAATTATTTCAAAGTTATATTAACTGATAGATTCAAATGGTGAAGGATTAACTAGTCCACCATGATGTAATTGTGAAATAAGCATGCAAAGTTGAGGTAATTGGTACCTGGTTGACTGCAAGCATATGATGTCCCGGTTGTCTAGCAGAGGTGTGTGACCATAGTCCATAGAGATGCTTTGATAAAGTAATTGAGGCCAGCAAAGATAAAAGGACGAGAAAGGAAGAGGAGCACTCCGACACACACACACACACACTGACACACGCACATGGAGGAGGGAGAGCCAGGGTTCAAAAACCTTCATTAACAGAAAAAAAAATTACCCCTCTGTGCCATCTCCCTCCTCCAAACCCAAGAAATCGTTTCTTTTATTAGGGTATTCTGTGACCTGCCATGCGAGCGCACCCAACATGGCAAAGGTCCGTTGATAAACAACAACACCAACACAAACACTTCAAGAAACCATACCCTAATCTCTCCACAGGTTCCTCCATCCTCTACTTCTTCCCAGCAAGATCCTCCATAACCAATGATACCGTAACAAATAGATCAAATAACAGGCATAAATAAATTCACAAACCCTTTGGGCCAAACAATCTTCACGGTGTTGGGATCCAACTGACTCCATGCTAGGAGATTGTATTCGCCATCGATCATCAGATTCTAAGGCCGCCATTGAATTCCCGATCGATCATGGGCGTATCTGATCAGGGTCAGAGCTCCTTCAGCCTCGC